GACTTTTCAGGACTACTTCTATAAATGACCAATAACACATTCATTTTTTTCCCATGGGAAGAGATAAGCATTCTATTTATTCGGCCACACTTTATATTAAGTGTCCTTAACTACTATGTACTTACATCAAAAGAAATAAATACAATGTACTTACTGTGTTTATAATGTATTTGAGAACACTTGTGGTGCTTTTGAGTTGGGATAGAGGTTGGGTTATGGACATGTTTGGTGGTATGGGTAGGTTTAAGGGTGGGTTAAGGTGTAAGGGATGGTCAACAGTGTATTTACAAATGTAATTACAAAAGTGAATTACAGCTGTATATACATACATGTATTTAATCAAGCATAAGTACACAGTAAATACATGCAATAAGTACATTGTAACAAACTATTAATTCTTGTGTAAGTACATATTAGTTAATTTAATATAAAGTGGGACCATTTATTCTTTGTAAAATATACTTAAATAACCTTTACTTTGCATTTTACTTTCCCCCACAATTCACTGAATGAATATAAATAAATAAATGTTAACATTGCTGAAATAAATATTAACATTTACGCAAACCAATACATACAGTAATAAATCTCTCACAAACAGGATGCAACCTTTTCCCCTTACCTGCTTTTACCAGAAAGAATAAATACATCTAATTTTATGTAGTTTTAAAACAGTATTGCATACAGTATGTGACCCAGAATGCCAAAACCTGTAGTTTTAAAACTTACAGTATGTGACCCTGAATCCCAAAACCTTACTCCTTATGTTGCACTGGTATATACAGTTGAAGTCAGAATTATTAGCCCCTTTGTTTATTTTTTCCCCCAATTTCTGTTTAACGGAGTAAAGAGTTTTTCAACATTTCTAAACATGATAGTTTTAATAATACTAAACTCAAAAATAATTTCCTATTTAATTTCTTTTAATAACTCATTTTATTTGATATTTTCCATGATGACAGTAAATTATATTTTACTAGATATTTTACAAGACACTTCTGTGCAGCTTAAAGGGATATTTAAAGGCTTAACTAGGTTAACTAGGCGAGTTAGGTTAATTAGGCAAGTTATTGTATATCGATGATTTGTTCTGTTGACTAATGAAAAAGAATATAGCTTAAATGGGGATAATAATATTGACCTCAAAATGGCTTTTAAAAAAATGAAAACTAGCTTTTATTTTAGCAGGAATAAAACAAATAAGACTTTTCCCTGAAGAAAAAAATATATATTATCAGACATACTGTGAAATTTTCCTTGCTCTTTTAAACATCATTTGAGAAATATAAATAAATAAATAAATAAATAAATAAATAAATAGCACAATTATATATATATATATATATATATATATATATATATATATATATATATATATATATATATATATATATATATATATATATATATATATATATATATTATAGAATATTAAGATTGTAATTTCCCACTTTAAATAAATCAAAACTACATTTTTGATTAGTAATGTGTATTGCCAAGCACTTAATATAGATAATTTAAAGTGGCTTGCTCAGTATTTTGTTTTTATTTAACCGTCAGATTGCAGATTTTAAGACATTTGTATATCTTATACATGAATATACATCGCAATATATATCATAATTAAACAAGATTAAAAGTATAGTGATCATTATTTTAATGTTGATTGTTGACCTAGACAACAAAGAAAGAAAGAAAGAAAGAAAGAAAGAAAGAAAGAAAGAAAGAAAGAAAGAAAGAAAGAAAGAAAGAAAGAAAGAAAGAAAGAAAGAAAGAAAGAAAGAAAGAAAGAAAGAAAGAAAGAAAGAAAGAAAGAAAGAAAGAAAGAAGATTTTTGCAGTTTTTTGCACTGTATTTATCCGGAATACTCACAGACTTCTAAAGAAGTTTTCATCTCATCTGGTAGAGAACTGACAAACCCAAATGTGCTTCACCTGCAAAACATGAGGCAAGATCACATCTCTGTGCTGCTGTGATCTACTTTTGACATTTACTTCATAAAACCAGCAAATCATGGCAAATGTTAGAAGAGATCTTATAAAAGATTATCAAATTGTACAGTCCACAATAAAATGCTTCAGAAAATAACAGACTGAAAGAGAAAGAAAAGAGTTTAGCCATTTTTACAGCAACATTAGAAGAGTTTAGATGCAAAAGTGCTGTCTGAAATTTCCATCAAAAATGAGCATTATTCTCAGCCTCCTTTGTTTATGTTGAGTTATTTCACTTTGAAGACCATGAACAGAACTTATTCTTGATATAAATGCCCATTATAGAAGAAAATTTTAGATAGCATTTAGAGGTTTCTGCATCTAAACTCTTCATTTTCAACTAAAAATATCATTTTTAAAATACATTTTTTATCATTAATTTGCTAATCAAACTAGAAAATGCTAACTTTAAAATATTATTTCATAAGAGTAATTTGTTTAACATTAACCCATTATCATTTCTGTTTCTATTACAAAAATGTCGTATGCATGTGTATAACATTCAACCTAACCTCTTTTTTTTATTATTTATGCCCTATGGTTTTTTTTTTTTGAATTACTGATATACCTTCCATTGAAGTTTCAATTAATGAAATGTTGAAAAATAAATAAATAAAATGGGAATGAGTGTAACCTCACTGTTCTTCCATCGAATATTAAAGGGATAGTTCACCCAAAAATGAAAATTATGTCATCATTCATTCACTCTTTATTTCTTTCAAACCTTTATGAGTTTCTTTCTTCTGTTGAAAGAAGATATTGTGAAAAATGTTTTATGGTTGTGTGTGTATGTGACTTTGTATTTTCAATTGTGTGTATTATTACTTACATGTACTGTAACTGTAATTTAGCATATGTTGTAATGCAGTTGCTTGATCATTGTCTTTTTATTATTATTGTTGTTGTTGTTATTATTATTATTATTATTATTATTATTATTATTTAAGTAGAAGGTCTAAATAAGCCTGTTGTGCTGTTTGTCTATTCCTGCACATATATATATATATATATATATATATATATATATATATTTCTGTTTTGTTTTAAAATTTTTGTATTCTTGCGCAAATAAATAAAGTTAAAAAAGTAAGAAAATGTCAGAAACCTGTAACCATTGACTTTCATATTATTTATTTATTTATTTATTTATTTTTTACCAGTGAAATCAATGCGCACAGGTTTACAACATTCTTCAAAATATCTTCTTTTGTGTTTCACTGAAGAAGAAAATTCAGAAAGGTTTGCAAACATTTAAGGGAGAGTAAACAGAGAGTCATTTTTTATTTTTTTTTTTTTTTTTTTGGGTGAACTATCCCTTTAAAAGTCATCCTATTAGAATTAACAAATTACTTTCAGCAAACCATGAAATCCCCCCCCCTCCCCCCCCAAAAAAAAAAAAATATAAAAAAAAAAAAATAAATAAATAAATAAACTGAGTCATTCAACTGCAATACATTAAAATTATACATAGTCGCAAAAATAAATATAGTCACAGGTTTGTAGAAATAAGCTGTAGAACAAAACGATACAAGCGTTGTGTATTTCTAACAGCCATTGGAAATTTAAATAAGGCAAAGACTAAAGCAGAGGTGTTTCGGTTACTTAGATCGTTTTAGATCAATTTAAACATTTATTTTATAGCTTGAATGTGGTTTATTTGTAAGTGCAACCTTATTATTTTATGTTTTGATTCTTTTGTTTTAAATCGAACGTTTCCCAAAGTGCTGCTATTGTCGAATGCAGAAAAACAAATGAGCATCTCTGAGTATACTAGACAACCAAAACAAAAATGGTGGACGAGCATGTGCGCAGACGCAAAGATAATAATTTGTAAAGTCTGCTACTAATGCCTTGCAATAATCATGCCGTCATGTTGGAGTCCACATATGGATGTTGTGAATGAGCGTGGAGCTGGTCCCGTTTGCAATGATTGAGAGTGAAAAGGGCGTAGTGCACTTGGCAGCCCCTAACTGAGAGGAGGATGGAATTAAAATCAATACTCTGCATGATGAGGTGACTCAGAAGGTTAAAATAGAACTCGCTACTCTCCACTGGCCGCTGCGCAGACGCTTTAAGATTATTAGCTGTCATAAACAGAAGATCTAGTCGTGAGTGTACAGTAGATTTAGAGTTTAGGCATGGCCAACTTTCAGACAGTTAGACACGTTCCCATTTAAGATGGCAACACAAATAAAAAGTAGGAAAAGAGTGAAGAATGCACAGTTTTTATTATTTATTTATTTATTTTATTTTTTTATTTTTTATTTTTTTTATTTAATGTGCTGTGGAAAATTAAGTAGTGTTAATGCATACAAAAATAAATCATATTGGTTATGCAAAATGTATTATTCCGAGGTCTAGAGTTATGTTATAAGCCTATTACCACCCATGGGTATTTCACAAATTGGACTTTTATAGATCATATTTTTATTTTATTTTATTATTTATTGAAGAAAGCATACAGTTGTGGTTTTGGTTTATCTGAATACAAATGGAAGTTCTGTCATCATTCAGCCAAGCCGTTTAAATTATACATATATATATATATATGACAAGATAATTTATATATATACAGTATATATACAGTATAAAATTAGTACCTTTTTTGTGTTGTTGCAATGTGATCTTTAAATGTAGTCTGTTGTCATCAAATGAACCTGAAAGATTTTTGATATAACTATGACACTTAAGTCGATTAATTGCTTGATTGATCGATTAACAATACATTTAAAAAAGACCAACTGTGGTATTGTTGTTGTTGTTTTTTTGAAGCTTCAAAACCCCCTTTCGTCTTCGACCCACATACAGCCTATACTGCAGGGAACTAAACAACCTCCAAATCTTTTTAATAATGTGTAAATAATAAACCAGTTCCTTACTGACGGCCTGATTTTTGTGTTAAAATGTTTCCTCACATTATAACATGCGTGCAAATCTACGTTCGTTAATAGTTCGTTAAAAATTATTTGAGAGTTATTGATATGATAGCGGTTTATTTTTATACATGTTCTCTGTTTTGTCTTCTTGTGATATGTTCTTACCAACTTTTTTCTCTGCTGGATATGTCTGAGTTTGAGGTTGTTTCTGCGCGCCCCCTGTGCACCTGTTCTTCACTCTGCTGTTGGAGCACAAATGAAGAGGTGCTCGTGCATGTTGAGTCTCAGCAAATAAGATGCGCTTCATTTCTGATCTCTCATCCATCCCCCCCAAACGCATCCTTTTTGTCTTTATATTCTTTTGCACATCTTAGCTTTTTGGCATCGAAAACTCTCGCTCACCCCTCCCACTCCTTGCGTTTTCCCCTGAAAGCAAGAAACCAGGACAGCGCGGCGCGCGACGGGTTAACGCGCACTCACGCTCGTGATTGGCTGCGGGAGCGGCGCTTTTAGAGAGAGGTAACCAGGCAACTTCAGCTGGAGCAGCGGAGAGAAAGAACAGGGTAAAGGGGAAAAGAAGCGCAAAAATCCCATCAGTTTTGGTGTGCGATAGAAAGGATGTAGTCCAGGTCTGTGGCTGTCTGTCCCCGGCATGGGAAAGTGGATTACTGCTCTTCTACAGACGGTAGAGACTGGATACGGAGTGATTGCGCGTGGATTTTTATCATGAGAAGTATGGAATCTGAACGCACTACTTTAAAGGTAAGACGGTTTGTCTTGTGGATGACATATGGAAAGAAAAACGGCGCTGTTGCAGTGAAACTTGTCCATGTGGAACGCGAGGACGCCTCTCCGTGCTTCGGTGATGGAGTTGTGTCGGTTGATTGAATTCACGCATCTAAAGCGATTGGAAAGATATTAAACAGTTACCACATATTTGGCTTGCGAGGAAATGAGCGGAACCAACTGCCACCAGTTGACGGTGATCATGCGTCCACGCGCGTATGGAGAGGAGCGGCGTTTGCTGCATTGACATCCATGTTCTGCCCCGCACGAGAGCCATTGATCAACTGAGATTTACTACAACGCTTCATATGTATCACCCTATTCATTCACAGCCGTGCAGAGCTGGTATATACACTTAATTAGTGCTGTATGCGCATATAAACTGCAGTGGAAAGGTTCTCGGTATTCCTGCTCGGGTTAAAACGCACGAGTGTCAAAGAGCGTGAGATGTCAGTATGCCGAAGCGGATTACGCTAAATGTGTAGGTTTTGTTTGTGAGGTTCAGGCGGGTTGATCGGTCCGCAGGGGCTCCGCGGCAGCAGAATCCCGCATTATAATCGCACTCGCCGCATGCGTGTGCGCGCGGGCGCGCGCGTGTGCGTGACAGGGAACCACCGGGCGGCGAGAATTCCGTTACTCGCACTCTAAGAATTTGACAACTGACTTGGGGCACCGCCGACCCCTTTAAACGGAACTCTTTTTAGGCGAACGTATGTCCCGCACTGTTTAAAAAGGTGCTGGAGCGCGTGCGTGAGAGATGTGCACTGACTGAGAGAAGCCTCCTGACCGCCTGTGGACTGCCGGTTGTGGTCGTTCTGAATAAGGTAGTGAAAAAAAAAATATCCGACCCCTCGACGTATACTATACGGTAAAAAAGACGACAAAATTGTCGTGTTATCACCTTCTTGTGCGATTTCACTTATTGGAGTTCGATGATCTGAAGGAGAAAAGCGCCAGTGAATGGAGTGTCCAATGAGGACTCAAAGCTAAAATATCATACATTGTGGTGAGAGGTGAAAAAAATAAAAATAAATAAATGCCTGATACATGCTGAAGTCCTATCACGGGCAAGTTAAAAGGTCATAAGTGTTAGCTTTAGGGTTAAGGCATAGCCAGCACACATGACATCAATGCAAAGCAACTGAAGTCAATGGAAAGTCACGGTTATGGTTAAAAAAAAAAAAAAAAAAAAAACATAAACCTAGTCTATATACGCCTATTTCATCTTTTTTTTTCAATGACTTCAGACACATTTACACTGTAAATATATAGGGAATTCCACAAATGTACACATTTATCAAATGCTTCCAAGTGAATTCAAATGCAGCTAGCTTCTTGTTTTTTCTTCTTTTTTTTTTCTTCAACAGCAATGCTGACCCTTACAGTTCATTTTGAATAGGCATCCATGTTAGTATTGATGACAGAAAATCTGCGGTCACAACGTGTATTTATCCTCCCTTTTTGTGTCTGAACTGATCCAGGTGTCAGGTGTTTATTGGCAGCCCCTCGTTTTTAGGTCAGTGGCTAATGTGTTAATATGTCACACATCTTTTTTTTGTTTTGTTCAGCCATTAATTCATTTCCGGCTGAATGCTATTTCAAATTAATTTATGATTCAGACAGAAATGCTGTTTTGAATCATTTACAGTCAAGGTTTTAATTAGTTTGGTAGGCAGATCAAATGAGGATAAGAAAGGAAAGCATTTCTTTTTTCCCCCCCCTGCCTTAATCAGGTCAGAGTCACTATGCCAACCTATGCCAGATGGCTCACTCTCCCAACCCCTCATATTACGTCACTATACTACTTAAGAGTGCTATTACTGTGGTAAAGGTGGTCTAATCAGTGTTCTGGACTTCACTGTGTGTTTCGGCAAGTAGGCCTTCCCCTTCTGCCTCAATGGGCCCAGCAGGCAACAGTGCATCTCTATGGAGACAGAACTCAGAGTGTGGGAACCCTCAAAGCCAACATTGTTTTGCTTTCTCCGCTGTGTTCATTTATTCATTTCACAAGCTGGGTTTATTTTGCGGTAATGTAGAACTCAGAGGTAGGGTTTAAGTCAAGACGTATCTCCTGGGCAACAGCATGTTTAAGCAAAATGAAAATAAATGCATGTTTGTTTGACCTGCATGAGTTTAACAGCACACCAAACTGGCTTTAGGCTTGTCACATTGTGTATGTTTGTATAAAGATTATTATCACTAATATTTTACCCATTCATGCTGAATGGAGATGGAGCTTCACACAAACACAGTAATTAGATGTTATTTGGAGTGCTATTTAGCGTTTTCTTTATGAGTATTATTTGTTTGGAAGGATAAGCTGAAGGGAACATGGTTTCAAAGCTGCAAAACCCAACACAATCTGGAAGCAAGTCACAATTCCATTCATATAATATCATCAGTAGGTTTTAGTATGGTTTTGTCAAACTCAACAGTGATAGTTGTCGTCTTATGTTTTTGTTGGAAAAACCTTACATTTTAGTTCAAGACATCATACAAATCTGTACGAATTAGCCACTTTTTTTAACAAAATGTTAAATGCTTAATTTTTCTCCTGAGATCAGGCTCAGAAAGTACACAAATGCTTCTGTGAGAGCCAGGCAGTTAAATAGCAAACAGCTTTGATCATGTTTTATCGTAACTATGATAATTATGACATTGTGACTACATAGAACTCATTATTATTAACTGAGAGCTGCAAATTGTGCTAAGTGATTGCTGTAGATTCATTTCTGTACTGTGTGCTGACAAGTCAGAGGTCGTGAACAGCTTTAAGGATAACGTTATGTGTGGTATCTGGAAATTACAGTAATAATGGTGTTTTGCGAATGTACTGTATATGTACACTGTAAAAAATGCAGGGTTCCACACAATTCATTAATGTCATCCCAACACAAATCGATTAGGTTAACCTAACACTTTGAACAAATTTATGTGGATTGAACATAAAAAATTAAGTTGTCCCATTGAAATCCCTATAAATGTGTTGATTCAGCGTATTTTAAATAAGTAGTTTGAACAAGCAAAAAATATATATAGTTTTGAGTGAAGCTTGTAACCACGAGTTCCATTTTTTATCATTTATGTACACAACTTTCATACGTTCGTTTTTTCTTCTGGTGAACAAAAAGTTGGTTGTCAAATATTTTCATATCAGTATGGTCTCTGTAAATATCATCTTAAGCTATGGGATTCTGTAATAATACCTCATAAACACCTTATATACCTTTTTAACAAATAACCATTTTTTATCACTAGATGAAATTATGGACAGCTATAAAAATCACGTCATTAACCTCTATATTAATAAATATGTAATTATATACGAATATGACAGGATCACTGTGCCGTGAACAGTGAGGACCAAGCAACATCTCCAGGTTCTTTGAGAACCAGACCAAAAAATTTATGTGCTCTTTTGTCTATTTATATATATTTTTTTAAACAAAGCTGCAACTATTTTATTCATGTTAAACCAGCTCGACTGGTTTGGTAAAAAAAAATAGTTTTTAATTCTGTATTTGTTTTAAAGTGTTTATTAACGTTTTATTATAGTGTTTATTTGTTTATTAGTGTTTATTAACGAATAATATTTTGAAAGAAACAATTATGATGTGGCATTGATTTATTGGTATCGTGTTATTTATTTTAGCTATCGTATCGAAGTCAAAATTTTGCTATTGTACAACACTAAGTGGGCGAGGCAGCGGCGCAGTGGTTAGTCCTGTCGCCTCACAGCAAAAGGTCGCTGGGTCGCTGGTTTGAACCTCACCTCAGTTGGCGTTTCTGTCTGGAGTTTGCATGTTCTCCCTGCCTTCGTGTGGGTTTCCTCCACAGTCCAAGGACATGCAGTACAGGTGAATTGGGTAGGCTAAATTGTCCGTAGTGTATGAGTGTGTGTGAATGTGTTTGTGGATGTTTCCCAGAGATGAAAACAATTCAGTTTTTTTTTTTTATACTTTGGAAAAGCTGTTTGATTACCATCATTCTTCAAAATATCTTCTTTTGTGTTCAATAGAAGAATGAAAATAATAATTGTATATATATATATATATATATATATATATATATATATATATATATATACATATACATACCTATATATATATATATATATATATATATATATATATATATATATATATATATATATATATTCACGTGTACCTAATAAAAAAATTTTTAAAAAAAGTTTTTTTGCACCCATTGAAAAGTTTTCATTCACAGTATTGTAATTGTAATTAATACCATAAAATAAAATTACGATAATATGATATCATGTTTATTTCTGAGATAAAAATAAAATAAAAAAATAAATTAAAAAAAAGAAAAAGGAATTTTGATTTTCATATTAAAACAAATTCTAGGATTGGTTGGTACTGATTTGTGAGTAGAGAGTGTCCAAAATTAAAACAATTCTAGTTATGGATTTTAACTTTTAAAGTGTTAGTTGCATTTGAGATCTTGAGGTGTTTGTTATGAGAGCAGATGCAGAGATTTTATTGGGATGTTGGGAAATCGTCTTAATCACTGCAGTAAGTGTTGAACTTTCTTGAAGTAGAGCTGTTTAGTGGGGAAGTCCCTCCTCGGAAGTCTGTCCCGTATAGAGAGGAGGCATTGACTGCCGTTTCTCGTCCTCTGTATTGATCTGTCTGTTCAGTGTGACATTATCTGCTCTTGCTAATTAGAGCTTAGGAATGGTCTCACCCATCGGATGGCATACGGCTGAGGACATGACACTGAGCCTCAGGGCACAGCTGCCACAGTTCATACCATCAGAAGGTTTACATTCAAAATGTAAGTGATATTGCAAATGCAGAGAAGGCCACTGCTGGATATGTTGTGCTTCAGGTTTTGTGTGTTGTCATGCTGTGCTATAATAATGTGAGCAGGGCTCTGTGTATTGCAGCGATCTCTGTTGAGGTGTTGTGTGTGTGTGTGTGAGATACTGTCACACTTTTTTTAAAACTTACTGG